GCTCGTTCGTACAAGCCGTGGTTTGTTCTGGATACAAACGTTAGGACGCTCCCCCCCCCCCCCCGCCCCCTACTCCCAGTTCAATACTGAGACGTTGAGACTTCAATTCCGCCGGCCCCCTACTAGAATGGCCAAGCCACCTTGGCAAGGCAGTGAAATACTCATTCCCCCAACACACACACACAGTTGTCTTCTGTCAAGTCGCCTTTTTTCGGAGATTTCGGAGAACTTGAAGAAGGGGAGGGATCAGCGCACCGTTTTTCCGGAGACTTTTTTTTGAAGTTTTTCATATACATACTCACAGAAAGACTACTCTACCCAATCGAGATACAACCACAGCAGTCGAAAGGGATGTACGTGCTGATATAAACACAGCAGTCGAAAGGGATGTATGTGCTGATATTACCACAGCAGTCGAAAGGGATGTATGTGCTTAATGAAGTAACATCAGTGAGTGGAGGGAAAACATTTTTTACCGTAGGCTCAAGTTAGCCCCGCACTTAAGAAGCTCTAGTTCGGGCCGAGGCACTATATGTAGGTTTTAGTGTTGGGGTTCTTACCCGAGCTAAATAAAATTATCAACTGTCGAGTGCAAAATGGTGCTAATGTTCTTAAATTTGATTTTTCTGGTAGGCTCAACAAATTTCTGACCTGTGGAGTGCTGCAAAGGGCGGGCGCTTTCTTTTTATGCTTACGAACCAACGGCCCGTGTGCTCGCGCTCGACCGTCAGGCCCGGCGTCTTAGGCAACCCCAGCAAGCAGCAAAGAAACGCCGGCAGGGGGGGGGCACGCGGACGGGGTAGGGGTAGAGGACGCCAGCAGCAGAAGCGCCAAGGCCATGGTGACGAGGGGGGCCCGCAAGGTGGCGAGGAGGTGGGGGGCGACGGGGGAGCGCTCGGGTTGTTGTCACCCCGGGGTCAGGGGTGGCTAGCTGGGTGAGAGCCAGGCCGGGTTGTACATGTTGGTGGGGTCAAACGTTGTTTTGCTCCCGTGGTTTTGGAGTACGAGTTGGTGCAGTACCTTGTCGTGTCTGCTCGGGAGCTGTGCCCCCGAGATAATTAGTGCGCTCATTGTGAGCTCTTGACACACGATGCTGATTTCCCACTTTTCATGTGTTCGATCCGGTGTCACTGCCGTTGCTTTTGGTTGCTCTTGTTGTTATCCCCGTTCTTGGTGGTACAGCGAATCCATCTACGTCAACATATCCATAGAAAAGAGTCTGGGATAGATTAGCAGTGAATCCATGGCGTCAGCGGAGGCTACCTGTACTTGCACGATTTCCCTTGCAGCACACATTTTCCCTTCTCATCGCTTCTAAATTTGACACCTTGTATTTACCACCACCACCGCCAGGGACTCACGAAACAGTGGTGACATTAAAAGGGAAACCATTTCCAAGCCAGCCCGTGCCTCTTTGCCTCCCCCTCTAAATCCGGTTGAAAAGGCGGGAAGTGATGCCGATGCAGCGCAGGGAAAACAATTTTGAGCCACATTTGGCAAAGCAGGAAGGAACGATTGGCCACAATCGGTGGTCGGTCGTCCTGTAGGAACAAAAATGCTCCGTCCTCTCGAGGACGCGTGGTCAATGGTCTAATAGCTCCGGCATGCGAAACATGAGTACGCCCCGCCCCCCCCCCCGCTTGGTGATGTGAGAGCCTGGTCCGGTGAGAACCCGGCGTGGTCCGTCCCGGCTTTGTAGGGATTGGTCTATCGACTACGGCATGCTGACTATGAGTACACCCCCCCCCTCCGCAGGCGAACCCCGAGGCTCCAGAGGCTAGTCAAAGAGGCGGCCATGCGAGGCACGAGGCTCCTGCTAATGCCCGATGGCATGGCTAGACGCGACGCGAACACGTCTACCGTAGCAGGCGCACCCGGCCGCGGGCGTCGGTTTTCCAACAGAGGGAGAGGCGGTCGCGGACGGGGGGCAGGGGGTAGGGGTGGCGGTGGGGGTGGTAAACCGGCGGCTGGTGTAGATGGGCGCGGTCAGCCAGGAACAGCGGCAGCAGGAGCAGCTGTTGTTGTCGTTGGCGGCGATGTTGGTGGTGGTGGTTTGGACACTTCTACGAGACCAGTGGCATCAGCTGGTGTTGGTGGTGTTGGCCCGGGCCAGGCAGCGGGAGCGGCAGCAGCAGCAGCAGCAGCGGGAGCGGTGCAGACCCCTACCGTACCGACTGCAACGGCGGAGCCTAGCGGTGCTCCTGCTAGCGACGGCTCTCCCGCGGCCACGGGCGGCGCGAGAAAGTCGTCTGTGTCGGCACCATCATCTCCACCGCTACCACCGGCTGTCGCGAAACCCACATCGCGGGAGTTGCTGGAGCTGGAAAATGCCTCTCCACGCGGCTCCAGCATCATCAGGATCGAGACCGGCGGCGGCTGTGGCGGGGACCAGTCTGTTCGCCGCACGTCGACACTGCTGTGGAAGGTCGAGTGGGTGTTCTGTACGGCTGTGGCGGTGGAGGGTCAGCGCGCGAGCGGTGCCGGGGGGGGGAGGGGGAGGGGCGACGCGGATGTGACGGTCTCGGACCCAACGGTATCCGAAGAGGTCTCGCTACTCGAGGTGTGCAGTTAATGGTCATTTGGCCCCCGCGATTTCGTGGACCGCTCTCGCCGACTAATGAGTTTATAAGGAAATATGAGAGGGAGGGGACACGCAGCCCGTATTCCCTAACCCTAACCCTAACCCTAACGCATCTTCCCCGTTGTATACTTCATCCAAGATGTTTACTTAATACGAAAAGCCCTGCGAAAGCTTCTAGTTAATTGTCGTAGGACACCGCCGACAAATAGTACACTCTCCCTCCGCTTGAAAGGACTACGTTTTTTCAGAAGCATTTTGCTCCGCAGGACGGTTTCAACGACGCCGTTTTCGACGCTACGGTTCTTTGTTGCTGCAGAGCAATCGAGCGTTCATATTTTGTTCAGGGGGTGCGATGTCGTATGTCACCTCGATAGTCTCGCGAACGGATTGGGTCTTTAAAGCGGACGTTCGTTGGTGATTTACTTTCAACCTGCACACCAGCAGAGTGTGATATCTTACGCCAACTAGAGCAGTAGTAGTCTACAGTCTCGCGGACTGTTTGGCCTTTGAAGCGGACGTTGGTTGGTAGCTAGCTATCTACCGCGAGGCAGCAGAGGCGTGTGTTTGTTACTATTCCGGTGGCACGTAGTTCATTGGAGCAAGTTGGAACAAACCGAACGAACGTTTTCGGGGATGCCGAAATTTCTGTTTATTCATTTGGTTTCGTCGAGCCAATTAGTGGGGCGCCATCATGTGCTCTACTGAACGCCATGCTGAACCATCTCCTCTTCTACGATTCGCTCCTACTTACTATGTGCGGCCGTAAACAACTCATCCTCCCACCCTTCCTTATCCTTAGGCGGTCGCGAAGCATCTGGAGCCGAGGCCAGGGAATGCTCCCTTGCGGCACCGTCTCAAGCTCTTCACAAAACCCTGGGGCGAGGCTGCTGCCGCTGCCACTGCCGCTACTGCTAAGACGTCAGGTACAGCGGTGGTCGTTTGTAAACTGTTTCTTGAATGAAAATCGAATTTTATAACGATTCAACAATTCGATTGGCTGTCCAAATACCGTAAGAGGCGGAGAGATGGCATCCCCCCTAGACCGATGTCCACAGCTCCCTTGTTCCACAACCAAGATTGTCTGCACCATACCGTATACCGTACCGTGGTATTCCGTGAGAGGCGGAGAGATGGCATCCCCCCTAGACCGATGTCCAAAGCTCCATTGTTCCACAACCAAGCTTGTGCCAACAGGTATTGGAAACAACTATCTCGTCGACGGGGTTCCGTAGACGTACCGGGCTCTTTCCGCACCCCCGTGGTTGTTGATCAATCGAATCGATCACGAATCAACAGTCCGCTCGTCTGTCTTACCGCTAGCCTTCCTCCCTGCTCGCGATGGCACCCCACCGGCAGGAGTTGCTTTTAGACTAGGCGTATTCCGAATTGTTTTGTCGTTTGTTCTAGTTGAGGCAACTTCTGGTCGTACGTAAGCCCTTCTTCTGAGTTTACTGTTGTCGGTTTGTGCTACCTTCGGCGTGTTCTGCTCTGTTGCCTTTTGTGTTGGTGTGTTTGTTTCGTGCTAAAAGCACAATGGCCCTTAGCCCTCGCCTTCCTCCCTGCTCGTGATCACACGCCACCGGCAGGAGTCGCTAGCAAGATGGTGGTTACCGGACGACAGCAGAAGCAGCAGCTGAGGCTCTTCCTGCAGCGAGTTCCGTGTGCTGCCAAGAGGCCACTCTACTTGGAGCTGGACGGCGGAGAGCCGTTGGGAACCGCGCTCAAGGGCAAGGTACCTAATCTTGACGGAAGCGTGATTGTATGCAAGTGGGAAGCGTAATTCCAACCACGTCCCCCCCGTTTTTGGTTGTGGGACCGCCTTCCTTGAAGAGATTTATAAGTTTGAGGAGAAACAGAACAGGGAGGGGGGACGCAGACCGTATTCTAACCCTAACCCGAACCCGAACCCTAACCCAACTTCCCCGATCGTTGTATGCTTTATCCAACATGTTCGCTGAATACAAAAAACGTGCGAGGGTACTGTGTTTGTGGGACCCTGGTGTTGTTCGGGAGGGGGGGGGGGAATACTGGTGTTTTGCTTGCCTTAGATGTTAAATAAACCACTCGAGAGGATGGCGCGTTGTTCCCACAGGACGTTTGGCCGGGTGGGGAGAGGGGGGGGGGGGTACCAGTTTTGCAAGCATTGGCACGTTCAGTCGCCGGTGGGTATTGAAAAGGAGGGACCGTTCGACCAGCTCGGTTTTTCTCTCTTTCCCCCCCCTCCCACGGCACGGGGTTGAGTTTATGTCGCTTGGCAACGACGTTGTAAAACAAGCCAAGTCACTTCGTGAGCTCGGCAACCAGGTTACCGCTTTGTTTTTGGCCTTTGGTTTTTGTTTGCGGTAACCGTGAATGGTGGTCGAGTAGATTATGTTGTGCGGGGTCGATAACCCTCACTCCGCGCAAAGGGGATAATCGCACGTTGTGTTAATTGGTCAGGCACCCTCGAGGCAGTTACACAGCGCTTACAACTGTCTCTGGAAGTGAAAGCACCAAAAAATAAATTAAATCACACGCAGCTGTCATCCGTACGCAAGGAAGTGAGCACAAGATGCCGAACACCCTTAGCAGGATGCAGCGCACTCTTCATGCGACTCGCCGAATACCTCACGGCGCTTCGCGCTTGGTGATGTGAGAGCCTGGTCCGATGGGAACCCGGCGTGCTCCCACCCGGCTTCGTAGGGATGCGATGTCAGACAACGGCATGCACGGCTATGAGTACAACCCACCCAGCGACTACAGGAACGATATGTAGCATTTACTATTGCACAATAATCCTACCAGGAATACAGCAACGATATATCGGCTATATTGCACTAAATCCTACCATGCGATAACGCGCCGGTTCCGCCTCAGACGGTGATCGAGCACCCTACGGTGTACGTTACCCTTAATGGCAAAGAGACTACCGAGAGGTTCCCGACCCTGGTGGCAGACCTGGAGCCCAACGATGATATTGCCGAGGATCCTTCTCGAGTGATTGGGGAGCTGGAGAGGGCGATGGCACCGCCCGTGCCGGCTGCCGCCTGCTTGTCCGTGAAGGAGGTATGTGCGACGGGGCGGAGATGGCACTTCCGTCACTGAGCGCGAAGCGCCGTGAGGTATTCGGCGAGTCGCATAGAGAGAAATAGAGAGAGAGCGAGAGAGAGAGCGAGAGAGAGAGAGAGAGAGAGAGAGAGAGAGAGACACACACACACACACACACAGACAGACAGACAGACAGACAGACAGACATAGTCAGACAGTCAGACAGTCAGAGGCAGACCATTAGAGACAAGGTGGTAGAGCTGTTGAATGCTGGTAGAGCCGATGAAGGCGCGCAGAGCCGATGAAAGCTGGCAAAACCGTTGCAGGCTGGTAGAGCCGATGAAAGCTTTTAGAACCGATGGAAGCTGGCAGAACCTTCTAAGACTGGTAGAGAGAGCATTGGTTGGTAGAGCCGCTGAAAGCTGGTGGAAGCGTTGAAGGCTGGTAGAGCGGTTGAACACCGCCGAGCCACTCAAAGCAATGGTGAGACAAATTCTCTCAATGGAGGAAGAATTAGCTGCTGCGTTGTGTGGGACGGGTGAGTTACCGTACATATTATATCTCACCCCCCGGACCGATGTTCAAAGCTCGATTACTCCACGACGAAGAGGTTGCCGAAATCAAAGTAATTTTTTTCGGAAAGCTCTCGGCGAGGCGGTTCCATCGCCGCCATTTTCGGCACCGTTATTGCTTTTCCTGCGGAGAAATCGAGCTTCGAAAATCGGTCCAGGGGGTGTGATATCTTACGTATGCAACCTAGGGCAGTAAATTCGAGACCGACGGTGTGGGGTGAGGGCTGAGATAGCTCTCGTCTCGAACGCTACACTCTTTAGTGCACTCGCCGTTGGTGATGGGTCTAATCGGTGCTCGAGAGACCGTTTTTGGGAGTTGGATGTCTTGTGCTATATGGTACACTCGTCAAGGGCTTCCTCGTCGTGGCGTAACCATCTTCTGGTTTGTTTGTTTTTGCTAATTCTTGTACTGTCGGGGCTCCGATATAACATGAGAGGGTGGTGTGGCCAAGGCCCTCGACCCTCGCACAATATCGGAAGCCGCTCTTACACCGGAGTAAGAGGGGCACCCAACTATTATGATATGGAGGTTCGAGAACGTTACAACCGTTTTGGAACCTCTGATATCGTAGCCCCCTCTTGTAAGGTACCCTCTTTTATCGGAACCACGACTGGTAACCTTGGTAGCCAAAGAAACGTTCTTTTGTCTACAAAAATGTTGTTCTTGTTGTTGTTGTTGTTGTGGTCTTCACATTGAAACCGTTCCGTTCTCTCTGCCCAGTACCTTCTTCTGTCCGTACTATGACAGTCGAACACTTGACGGGGTCGATTCCCGTGGTCGAAGGCTGACTTACCCCCAAAACAAATCGTGAGCGAAAAAAGAACCATTGCGAGTGTGAACCATCAGTACATACAGCAGCGTTGGCTTGCGTATGTATCCGTGTCTATCGATCATCACATGGCGCCGTCGCTGCTTGTTTCCCGCCGAATCAGGGTCTGCCCCCTATGGACGGTTTGGCCCCGATGGACGCGACATCCTCCGAGGGAGACGAAGGTGATGACAGCAGTAGCAGCAGCAGCAGTAGCAGTTCGGAGAGCGAAAGCGAGAGCAGCAGCTCTAGCTCCAGCGAGGAGGACGACGCCAGCGACGACGACGACGCCAGCGACGACGACAATGGCGATGAGGAACGACAACCCCGCCGCCCATCCTCGATGATGCAGTAGCACCTTCGCAGTTTTTTCTTTGGACCAAGTAAACCGGTTGATCTCAGCAGACAGGGCACGTCTACAATTCGCTGACCAAGGAAAGAATGACTACTACTGTACAGAGTCGACCCCGAAGGTCGAGTTATCAAAGGCGCTTCTCCTACTCGCCTTGTCCGTGTAGTAAATAGTCGTTGTTGATCCCCTCGGTGGAGGTATTTATAGGGTGTAGGTCAGGGTTAGGGCGAAGCGGTCCTCGGATACAGTTGGCGCCCGCAGTTAAGAAATATTTTGTTAAGAAATTGAGGCTCACTTTTTCACGAAAAACAAGAAAATAGGGTTAAGAAACATAGCTCAATCTGGGTCACACAACAAGAAATGTCTAAATAAGAAACACAGCGGCGACCGCTGCCCTACTACATAAGAAACGAGGGTTTACGGGGGAGTGCGTCGAATAAGAAACAAACCCCACAGCTCTCTCACTCTTTCCCCCTCTCCCCCTACCCCCCCCTCCCATAGTGTGAAGACAACAACAACAACAACAACAACAACAACAATAGTGCAATATTATTAGTTGTACGACGAGGGGGGATTGTTTTTTTTGCGGCGCCCCCTCCGGCCCCCTGCGGGCTCTGCCACGCTCTCTGCTGGCGCTAAAGCTTTGGCACAGCACACCGGACAGACTGCGAACCACGACATGCTGTCTGCTGTACACGGCTTTGATGGTGCTCTCCGCCAGCTCTCGTGAGGGCTTGACCAAGCTGGTCACCCTCAGAGATCAACAAGAAAGAGCTGTCGACGAGCCAGCTCGGGGACATCAAGAAACACCTAAAAAATAAGAAGGAACATGATATAAGAAACTGAACGACATACGCTGAGTTTATAGCCCACAATAAGAACTCGAGGCTGGACCTGAAATAAGCGTTTCTTACCTGCGGGCGCCAACTGTATCGTGGGAAAAAATCATTTTGAGTTCCAACTGGTGTTGTTGTCTAAACAATGAAAATCGTTCGTCCAGTCGTATCCGCTACGTACCTTCGAACATCCGCACTTACTGGCCCTCCAACTGGAACGGTGTGCATCTTCTGTACACAAAGAAACGCTTACCATTGAAATACTCATATTTTTTTGTTGTCTACAGCACACTTCAAATTAGCACTCAAAGCGTTTGTGCCGTTTACTCAAACCAGTGGTCACTGATAAAAAGGTTTTGATCAGAAGCCGCGAGGAAGAACACACGAAAACATAAAACATGGCAGCGAAGTGGTTCATTTATGGATGGCTTTGCTTGCATCCCTCCCTCGTTCCGGCCATGACAACAGCTTGCAATCGATTGTGAGGTACATGTAGTAGGTGCGTACGGCATCATCACCGTGATTCATCGCAAGCATTAGGCATATATGAAATGAAGCCATGAGACATGCAATGAAGTCGATATTTCATTTCGAAGTTCCCACTTTGTAGAATTGTAGATTTTCACAAGCTCGGTAGAGCTTGGGTTCCTAGACTATCGATCTAAATTCAGGGTTTCTGTCCGTGTCATTTTCATTCGCATAGCCCAACCCCCGAACCGGTCTCAAATGCTGATCTCGAGTCACAGGGAAAATCTCGTGGCGCCTCAAGTAAGTATGGTTCGGTAGGGAATCGCAAATGATGACCCCTCCCCAAGGTTGACCAGCTTCCACCTCCTGTGGCCGACACTACTCGGCCTTGACTGTTCCTTGCGTGTTTCGCCATGGGAACGGCCGGTTGAACAGAGAAAGAGGGTCCTGTGTACTGCGGGCCACAATCTTCTGCGTTTGTGTGTAATTTACTTCTTGCTCAGTGATGCTCGAAATGTGCTGCAAAGCTCGGTAATCGTCTCTGGAGGCTGCGCGCGTTGCTCGCGGAGGCAGCGAGTTGCTCGCGTATAGGTAACGATCCGCGTCTCTTTCTTTTTGTCTGTGTCGTCATCCATGAACACAACAGCAGTTCGGGACTAAGAGACTAACAACATGGACGGTCCGCCGCTAGCAAGCAGTGCTGTTGGCCGCGTACGAAAATGGGAACTTTAGCGACAAGGTCGATGGCAGCACAACAATCTCTGCACCTACGTATGTCCACACGTAGTATGGCTATGAGAACGCGGTCGACGCTTTTGTCTTGTAGAGGTACACATCTAACACGGACGGCAGGCGTATTGAGGTACAGTAGTTCGTCCGATGCTTAGTCTCTTCTCTAAGTCATATTAATTGTTTTTGTTGTCACTACACAACAATACCACAAATAAATAAAGAAAGTCCGTCCGTAGATTCCGTAGTTAGTTTTGTTTGATGCTGTCTGAGTAAACGAGGCTACCGGTGCACCCGGGTGCTGCATGTGATGACACGATGGGCGCTGCCAAGTACTGCGCGTGGCCACAATGTTTGCTGCAGTGCCTACGTGAGAGCTTCCGGGGGTTCAGAGCGGCGAGGGTGCTTTTTCTATGCTCTCCTCCGCCTCCTCGCTGAAACCTCTCGGGTCGGGGTCGGCTTTTTTTTTGTGTGTGTTTTTTTTCATGCCTTGTTTTTTGGGGCCCTCATCCGCCCACTCACCAATACATACTGTACAAGTTTTTGTTGGGGCATGTTTTTCTTGCCATGTATCGGGTATGGCTGTGTGTGAGCTTGGGGGATATAGTGTCGACGGCATCACACTCTCATCGTGTGCGTAGGAAGCTATGCGAGGGGTTAACGCCTTCTTCCTCGCTCTCGGTAGCGATGCGCATCTTTGACGTCAATCAATGATCAATCAGGATATACCGTCATCATGATGTTCTTGTTGTGACTATAAATGCAAGTTCGCCCGAGGGTATTTCGTTCTTGCCGAAAGAGCGGACTTACTGTATAATTACCGATCGATCCGCGCTCTGGTGCTCCTTCATTCGGGTGCGATCGTGCGTACTAGCCAGCCAGATCATCAGCGAGCACGACTAGCGAGATTGATGACAGCGTGGAGTAGCGAGATTGTTGATAGCGTGGGGTCCCTCGCCATAAACAGTGCATACGCAAGGATGGGAGCTGTGAGAAGTGTCGTTTTCTTTCTCTCCGCTGAGGGCCGGCCGAAGACTGTTTTTTCCGGGTGCGTGCGGGTCAGGCCGTCTCAACCGTCTTCGCGCGACAAACAAGTCATGGTCTCCAACAACAATAAAAATCCATCTAGGAGCGGGGCGCAGATAGATACTGCTGGGTTAGTCCTTGGATAGTGGTAGTTTTGTTGTTCTCTGGTCACAGTAACATCAAACGTCTGCATTCCCAAGCTTGGATCTCTAGCTATCGACCTAAATTCACTTTTTTCTCCATCCCTGTCATTTTCATTCCACCCCCGACAGGGTCTCAAATAAATGCTGATCTCGAGCCACAGTGGTCAGAGGGACGATATTGTGTGTTTTCTCGAGAGTGAATGCCTTTTCTTCTGGCCCGTGGTGCTGACTCCTAGTCTCAGTTGTACAACAACAGAACAGCAATAACAATGACAACATGTCGAGATTGTGACAAGACATTATTAAGGAATAATATAAACACACACAGAAAGACTACCCATTCGAGATATACCCACAGTCGAACGGGATGTGGTGGAGTCTTTTCAGTGAGTGGAGGGAAACCGGCTGGGTACTGTTATTATTGTGACACCAGAATTTTTTTGTTTTTTTGTTATGGGCAGGTCCACTCTCCTTCAAGTTGCCACTATGTCGGGCCACACGCATGGATGGGTATTCTGAGAAGTGCTCTCTCTCTCCGTTCAGGGCCGGTCGCGGCTGTTCTTTTCGGGAGGACTCGGGCGACATGTGTATCAGACCCTCCGGCCGAACATGCTAGTTTTCCAGCGTCTAGAGGACGACTTACGGTTAGGGTTGTTGATGTTATCTTGGGTTAGGTGCTTGGGGTTGCACTTTGTTGGCTCAATGTAATATTACTGCTGTGTGCATGCATACGTAGTAATAGCTCGAGTACAATATCTTTTCGTTTGCGTCAGTTGCTGCAGGCGGGGCCCTGCCCCTCCCTGCCGCGTGACTCTCCGTTATTTTGTCAAGTGGAACGCGTGTTGGTGTTTTCCTTTGTTGGCGAACAAGGTGTGTCCGGCAAAACGCAAGAAGGAAAAAAAAAATTAGCTATCGACTAGTCTAGCTCGGAAAAGCGAGTGAACATCCATGTAGGATCAACCTGTGAACAATGGGCATAAAGGTTTTGCTGTTTAGGCGCCTCCCTCGGCATGGCATACAGCAGCAGACACATTACATTTAGAGCCAGCTTCATGGTTCACCTTGGCTTGAAGCTAAAACGGGCCCCCGTATGTTGCGATTCTAACTCATAGAGGGTACGACATACGACACAAGATAACCTACCTCCGGACCGATTTTCGAAGCTCGATTTATCAACAGCAGAAAGAGGCGCAGCGCCGAAAATGGCGGCGTTGAAGCCGTCTGGTCGAGAGCTCTCCGAAAATGTATCGCTTCGCGTTATGCATCCTCTTCGTCGTGGAGTAACCGAGCTTTGAAAATAGGTCCGGCGGGCGTGTTATCTTGCGTGGAAAACGGTATGCATAGGCATCCCGCAAGATATCCATTCAACGGAACGTGCTGTCTCTGTAGATAGGACTCCAGTGTTCCGATGACCAAAATCCACAACGCACCAACCGGGCGGGGTCACTCAGGAGGATGGATGACTACACAGGACGCGGCAACGTTCAAGTGTAAGAAGAATCATAATATTAAATCGCATATTAAATCGCAGAGAAGCGAACACGGCCAATTCAGAACAAGACGCCTCCAATCGACTGACTCAGAACATGGATTCCGGTAAAACCATATTATACTTCCGCTAGGGTACAAATGCACAATACACATGACTAGTCTACCACAAAACAAAGAGCCAAGCCAAACGCGACGGCTTCGTAAGGTTTTGGATGGATTCATACGCCTGAACTGAAGCCGCAGTGGGTGCTATCAAGCTGCACAAGTTTCCCGCACGCCATGCTCCACCCACTATTTTACCACCCACAGCAGCAGCAGCAGCAGCAGCAGCAGCAGCAGCAGCAGGAGCACGCGGCACAAATACTCCACACTCGCACAGAACGCATTGAATGCTCTGCCTTGCGGCACGATGATAACAAGCACACACGACCCCGGACCCAACACATCCCCCTGTCATGCACACCACCAGCAACGACTACAGCAGTAGAGGTCCCTGTCTAGTGCCGGCATGTGCCCAAAAGTTCGCCGGCACTACATACCTATATACCGGACCAGCACTATCACTATTGTGCCGGACCGACACTTATTATACCGAACCGGCACAAGTACACCGGACCGGCACTATTCAGAGGTTCGGAAACTCAGTGTGTGCCCGCCGAAAGCACCGGCACGACTGTACACCGGGCCCCGGCCCAATTCAACCAGCACGATGCAGGGATCCCTACTAGCTGTGGGGATATACAGCATTTCACAAACCGACAGCAGCAGCAGTAGACGCGGCGACGGCTGCACGTGGTGGAACAGCAGCAAGGGGCAGAGGCAGGGACGACAGCCAGACGTCTCTGCCTGGCTGAAACGATGGCAAGCGCGACACCGACAGCAGCGGCGTACGTCAGCAACAGCTGACGGCAATCCCCTTCCCCATGCCATGGAGGCCGCTACAGTAACACCTGGCCGCCATAAGAACATATGAACGGTCACTCCGTTCCCCATGCCATGGAGCCCCCTGACAGCAAGCACTACACCGACAGCTGGCCGGTACGTCAAGGACAGCTCCCCTTCCCCATATGCCAGCTACCATGCCCCCCCTCCCCCCCTCCCCCCCCTCCACTTCCCAACACGAAATAAAAACCACGGGACTCGCCAATACAAGGAAAACAAATTAATCCATCAGTAACTGTTCACATCTGTCTCATTCCTGGCTCGGAACACCTCGTTATGCTGGCAATACCATCCGTTCCGTATGGGATACCTGCCATGTTCGCAGGCTCACAACGTAGCAGGGAAAACGGATCGGCGCTACGAAAGAAACCGGAGAGAATTCTGTTCAAAAGGACGGCCCCGGGCAAACAAAATAACTTTATTTGTACACGCAATGAGAAAAACAAAAACACAAGTACGAAGAAAAAAACACACGGCAAAATACGAGAACAATTAACACAGCAGTAAACGACAATGAACGATCGGATGCGGTGCCTTCCACAGAGTGAGTGCGCACCACACGCCACATGCCAACAAGACAGAGAAACGATACGAAGGTGTACTACGTCTGTCGTAGAAACAGATGTACACGTTGACTAAACGGAAATACTATCCCGTATGCATGGCGTACTCCCTTCAAGTCGGCCAAGAGACGGAAAACAAAGAAAGCGAAACAATATTCTCCCGCAATCAATGCCTACTCGCTACAAGTCCCACAACATACCAAACCGTGAAAAAACAAACACGGGGTCATACAAAAAAGGAAACAAAAACAAGGGAAGAGACCCACTTGGCAAAAAGTGGACATGTTATGTTAGTAGTCCCTCTCCTATTCTGGCGCCATTCTACCCTCCATCACGTTTACACGCACCACGTGTGACCCACAAAGTCCACACACAAAAGAGCGGTCTCGCTACCTGGCGGTGGTTATCGCGAAAGGGCTTCGACCGCAACAGAGTGAGGATCTGCTCTCTAAATAGTGCCGTAATGCTCCTCTGTCCTCCAGGCTCACCGGCACTGCAAACCGGGTACCCCACAGCATGAAAACGGGATACCATACATAATACCATGATATATTCCAAATGTTTCATGGGATTTCTCCGGCACTACACTCGGTACGCGGCACTATTGAGACACCAATCGGCACTATCGAGTGACCGACCTCCGCAATATTCAGGGACCACTTGGCAATCAATCTCGTCACTATTCAGGGACCACTCGGCACCATGAAGTGACCAATCTCGGCACTATTTAGGAACCAATCGGCACTATCGAGTGACCAACCGGCACTATTCAGGGACCATTCGGCATTATCGAGTGACCAATCGGCACTATGAAGGGAGCCGGCAACCACATTGAACGACCAATCGGCACAATGAAGTGACCAATCTCGTCACTATGAAGGGACCAATCGGCAACCAATCTCGTCATCATCGGTGGTATGGCACCGAGCACAGGGCCTCGTGTTCTTCCGCGGGAAGTATCTCCCGACACCGCCTGTCCCACAGCTTGAGAGCGACGTCGTAAACCTGTCGTCGTCATTGTGGGTTAACATCGACAAAAGCATTTCCGTGGGGCGGGGGGGTCAGTACATACTATTAATAGGAGACGGTATGCGGTCATGTTCCATAGCTTGAGAGCGAAGTCGTAAGCCTATCGTCATCGTCGCGGTTTTCCTTCGATAGAGGCGTTGTGTTTCGGGGGTGGGGGATAGGTAAGTACTCGGAGATATGGGTCAATATCCCACAGCTTGAGAACGACGTCGTAAACCTGTCGTCGTCATCGTGGGTTAACATCGACAAAAGCATTTCGTGGGGCGGGGGGGTCAGTACATACTATTAATAGGAGACGGTATGCGGTCATGTTCCATAGCTTGAGAGCGAAGTCGTAAGCCTGTCGTCGTCGTCGCGGTTTTCCTTCGATAGAGGCGTTGTGTTTCGGGGGTGGGGGATAGGTAAGTACTCGGAGATATGGGTCAATATCCCACAGCTTGAGAACGATGTCGTAAACCTATCGTCGTAGTCACGGTTTTCCCTCGACAGAGGTGTTGGCTTTCGGGGGTGGGGGATCGGTAAATACCCGGAGATGAGCGTAAATGTCCCACACCTTACGGGTGACGTCGTAAGCCTATCGCCGTCCTCTTGGGTTTCCCTCGATAGATGCGTTGTGTTTCGGGGGTGGGGAAGGTTGGTATATACTCCGAGACATGCGTTATGCGTTAACGTCCCACAGCTTGAGAGCGACGTCGTAAGTCTATCGCCGTCATCGCGGGTTTACACCGAGAGAAGCATTTCATTTGGGGGGGGGGTCGGTGTATACTCCGAGACATGCGTTAATATCCTACAGCTTGAGGGCGACGTCGTGGGTTTCCCTCGATAGAGGTGTTGCGTTACGGGGGCGGTAAACATACTCGGAACTATCTCACGACACAGATGGACCCGCAGCTACAGATGTTGGTAGCGATCGAAATAGATCTACTGTATGGACAGAGATGGAATTGTTGTGTCGTATGAAGGGAAAAACGAAAATCAAAAGAACGATGCTTCACCCGCGATCGGTTCCGACGACAACCGTCTAGCAGGACGAGACCTACATGTGGGCTATGAATTATACCGTCGTTTTAATGCGGAGACAACAAAAACAACAACTTCCTGTTGCGCCATTCACGACCACGTATACCGTATGTTGCATAGGATATCACACCCCCTGGATCGATTTTCGACGCTCGAAATCTCGGCAAGAAAAGCAGTGACGGTGCCGAAAATGGCGGCATCGGAACCGTCTCGTCAAGAGCTACCCGAAAACATATCCTTTGATTCCGACATCCTCTTCGTCGCCGAGTAATCGAGATTTGAAAATCGGTCCAGGGGGTGTGATATCTTACGCAACCTACGGTATACAACGTACAGCCTACAGTAGCCTTCGCAAGGTTTTTGTATCAAGTAAACATGTTGAGTATAAGCACACAATCGGGGAAGTTGGGTAAGGGTTGGGGTTGTATGTAGGTGATAATAGGGTCTGCGTACCCCCTCCCTATTCTATTTCCCCATAGACTACGAGGGATAGTCCTCACCTGCCACTGCCGCCCCAGCGTAGTCGCGTTGAACTCTCTCACCAGATCCGGGTCGATGCCGCTCAATACGTCTCCGGAGTGAACCGGCGATCTAACACAGCAGCAAGAATAACGGGGGGGGGGGGGGGGGGGCCCCAAATCCTGCAATCCCTAATCCTTAAAACCTTTACCCCCCCTCCCCACCAAACCCGG